ATAACCTGCCCGACACTGGCATATAAACATCTAATGCGTTCAGCTCATTCGCTCACATGCAAATGCCAGGAGCAAATTCAAATTCATTTCGAATTCAAATATCTCAAACCAAAAATATTGCAGTTGCGGCTGCATATCGAAAATAAATAAATTTATTAGTTAGGCAACAAAAAAAAAAAAAAACAAGAAATCAAAATAATCAATGAAATGCATGAAATGAAACCTCGATATTTTCCAATGATAGATGCATAGCGATGCATAGTGTCAGTTTTCATCACGCTGATAACATTATCATATAAACTTAAATTTTATCAAAGGTTCCTTTCATTCAACAGCGACTGATAAAATTACCTGCTGCAGTAATTGAGGTTTTGCAGGATTTTTTTTGTAATTTTTTTGTAATTTTTTTTGTTTTTGCATTGAATGTGCAACTCAACTTTGATTGCAAAAACAAAAGAACAAAAATCGTGAAATCGTAACCTACACAGCAGAATATTCTGGTTGCTCAGGGCGTATGAGTGTTGTTATGCCAACAGCCAGCCCAATGGCAAGGCAGCCAACAGCCAGACTAAGGCAATGTTGCAAATGTCAGGCAGACATTACTGCAACATTTGTACTTTTTTCTTTTTATTTTTTCATATATGCAAATATTTGCATTTGATTATATTGCGGCACAAAAACGTATTTTATAAAAAATCGAACAAGAAAAAAGATTCTCAAAAAGGTTTATTGCAGAAAAAGAGTATCTCAGAAAAAGTATTCAGAGAAAAAAAAGGAAAAATCAAGGGGGAAGAGGTTAGCTGTTTGCAAATTTTATTCTTTCAACTTGGAAAAACTATCACGATTGTTATTATTAAGTATTGGTTGATCGAATAGTTTTTTATGATGTCGTTATTTTTTTTTTTTTTTGTTTTTTGGGTTTGATGTTCGTTTTCGTATTTGCTCTCCACATGCGATTATTTTTCATATTTAATGCCTTCTGCGCATTGGTCACTTCGACGATAGTGAGTGGTCTCACTAGAAGACAATGTCGTTTTGTTATTGAATTGAATTATAGACAGAAGTAAAAAGGAAAAATGCTTTATTGTTACTCGGTACTATTTGAATTTTGATAATAAAATTGGTAAAACATATTTACTTTGATGCAATAGAATTGTAACATTTGTTTCCTTCGAACATTTATGGATATATTTTATTCTATTAATTACTCGAGGCGACTTTTATTATTACACAATTCAGATTGTTGTGAACTGCACTGCAGCAGTTTTTATATTAGCAAAAAAATCCCTAACGATTAACACTTAAATGTAGTAATTATTTGAAGTTAAAAACGTAAATAACTTTACTATTTCTCAATATCTCTATTGCTAACCTTATCGAAGTTTTCTTAAAAACTACTACTAGCAAGTTTATTACCAATAATCGAGAGGAGGTACATAATTCCTGATCATTAAATCGGTTTCAGAAAAATTCACTCAACAATCGACTAAATACAATGCCATTGAATTGGCGATGCAAGAGAAGAAAGTGTGTTGTGCCGTCTTCCTAGATGTATTATAAGCCTTCGATAAGGTTTGGCATGAAGGTTTACTTCAAAAACTTAAGTCATTATTGCCTATGCAATACTTATGTTGAAGCTATTTGAGCCAGTGCACTTGAGCACTTTTACTCTTTCTTAACTCGAGCTATTCTCAAAACCTCTCTTTACGCCTTGACTGGATTATTATTTATCCTTCATCAGACTAAGCACTAATTGACCTCAGATCTGCATACCTCCCCGAGGAGCCTGTAACCATTCTGAGATACAATACTATGAGCTGCTATCATCGTATCTCAACGACAAGTAATTTAGTGTTAAATACAAAGATACCCATTGCACCATTAAAAAAGATAAACGCAGCAGTCGCAGGGAACCACTCTTGAGCCTTACTGTATCTATATATAATTAGATATATGATATATGCATACTATATATGATTTTAGTACTTCGGCAAACGAACTAGTTA